CAGGTCTTGTGACCCACGACATAAATTCCCTAGAATTAAGGATAAAGATGTGATACTACAGATAGGGAGTGAGGTGATGTGCCAGAGGCATTCTGTAATAGGCATACCTGAAAATACCTTTAAATTCTGTAAAGTAATAGGCATACCTGAAATAGTATAGGCCTGAAACGAATACAGGTCAACCCATGCCAATCCGTACGCACAAACTGTACCCACATTTTGGTCGACCCGTACACACCTTTTTGTCAACCCGTACACAGCATACACTAACCCGTGCCCAAGTTTGATGAATGATATTTTTACTATAATAAAAAATTTTGCAAACTCTATTGTATATTTATAGTAATCGTATTAAACTATATTATAAACGCCAAGCTTAAGGGTTAGAATACAAAATTACCTTTACCGGGCATGCATTAAATCAAGAAATTCATGATCGTCAAGCCTAGACACATTGTTGTGTTGCCCCTAAATGGAAAAAATCGAGACCGTCGGTTGGTCGGATTTTTTTTTTTTTTAAGTACCATACTCGCGCGAATAAGCGCCCGTTTGAATAAGCGCCCCTTCTAATTTGAATAAGCACCCCTAATAATTATATTATAAGATTTTCGTTTTATAGCAATCAATACTCCAGTCAATCCTGGGACTGTGGTTGTTGGCATGATTTGAGCTGCAGAGTGGAAACACATTCTTCTTAGGTCAATATCAAAATGAGGATACAGTATTTCTCTTGGACAGATGAGAGCTCTGATCCCTGGATAGACAGTACATTTTCAACTTTACTCTTCTTACATATTTGTCTATACCTAGTCCTACTCCTCTTTTTCTTTTTCCGACCTTTAGCACATTATCATCTGAGTTTTTTATTTTCTGAGTTTGTCATTACTTTTTATACTCGTTTGAACTTATCTCGCTTATCTTGATTGATTGTCTCCCACCTGTGAGTATGTTATAGCTAATTCAATTCTCTTTCGGACGTGTCCCTTTATTTTTAATTTTGCATGTTTAAAACGAATGAATTTTTAGAGCATTCTTATCTCTCATTCTTAAAAGATGTAAAAAATAGAAAACAGAGAGGGCGGCAGATTGTATTTCGACGCTATCAGACTTACATATATATATAGGTTATATGAAGGGAAAATTTGTGTGGCATTATTAACTAACAAACGGTTTTAAAAACACGACAATATTTAATTTCGTGTGCCATTACTGTACACGCACACATCGTGACGTGTGCGTATGTTAAAATTTCAAAATTCTCAATATCACTATTCAGATAGTTTAAACGTTTCGGGTCATTTTCTGCATTCCAAAACTTTCCATATTTACGCACCATACGTTCATTCCCACGCACACAGAACGTACTGAAGCTGGAAATCATGTTTTGTTACATATTTTGTGTTCCTGACACTGTATTCATATCAGGAGTCACTCTTTGTGCCATTACCGTGCTCACGGGCGTGAAGCTGTACGTGTACGCATGCGTAAATCTTTTAAAATGTTGAAGATTATTCTTTTTAAAAAAACTAGTTACAGAATATTTTAGCATATTATGAAACTTTTCAATCAGCACCGTGTGCACTTTATGAGGGTCAAAGTACGGCAGATCACCAAACTCGTCTTTAGTGACGAGTTCAAATCTAGTTGAAAATTTCTTTCATAAAACAAGGTTATACTAGAACCCAAAGAAAGCTACTTTAAATTCAATATTAAGTATGAACAATTAAGCAATTCCATGAATCAATGAACCCTAATTCCAAACCAACTGAATGTTTAATAGGAATATTCTAGACCTATCTTAAAGACTCAAGGAACAAAATTGAATGTAGAGCCCCCGAGGCCTCCTCCTACTACTAGCCTAGGCCGTATAGCATAGTTATGAAATCATCCCAAGATTTTTTACCTGTCTGCACCGACCAAAAAGTTAGTGACAGTGACTATATTCTGTCTTGAATGCATTGAAAAATGTTTATTTCTTTGACAAATGTGAAAAATAACAAACAAGTTCTTCTAACACAATACAAATTACAAAATAGCCTAGGCCTAGTTATACATTGTATCCATACAGTACTGCTGATTTGTAGTTATCGCCTAGGCGCTGCCTACTGCAGGAGCACAAATCAGCATACGCACAAAATATAAATACGCACACAGTATACTGGTCATATCACTATAGCAACCGATGACTGGTACAACACAGTTGGTTAAAAAAACTAACATTAAAAGACGGCGATTGACTTATAAAGCAATTACTAGAGCAAGCATCGTTCACTAGCGGAAAGTTATTATACTTAGGTTAGATTTAATGCATTCAAAAATTTCCTTCGGGCCTTGCAGGCCCTCAGGATATTTTTTCATGCATTAAATCTAACATACTGTATAATATTTTTCCTATAGCGTAATATGCGGATCTCTACTAATTGCTTATTAGTGTATCCATGTAAAAATAAGTATATTATTATTATTATTTTAGTTTTCTTATTTCTTTGATCACACACTTTCTTCATTCTGTGTTGCATTACTTATCTTCCCATGTGACTCCAATCAATAAAGACAAAATCATACTTTTTCAGTAAAGTTCCTCAATGTTGAAAATGAACTGTTTCTCAACTGTGAGGCATGATCTCAACAGTGTGGAGTGGAGTAGGCCACCATTAAGCAAACACCATATATAAATAAAAAGGTCAATCAAAAGTGATGCAGCACAATTAGGAAAAGCTTGGCAAAACAATTGCCCTATAGAGAGAATAAAAAAAGATCAAAATAACAGGCAATTATTATTATTATTATTATCATTATTATTATTATTCTTATATAGTAGTAGTAGTAGTATATTGTTGCTATTGTTTTTTTTTTATTATTGCTGTTGTTATCATCATAGTCATTATCAATACTATAATTGCATAATAGTATTGATGGTCATCATAAGCCATCATCAATACTACATTGTTGTATATTTGTATATAAAGCAGGGTGACTAACTTATAAAGCAATTATAGTCAAGTTCTGAGGACCGTATAGAAAATAGAAACCAAAGGTGCCATTTTTTCCTGAAAAAATTTTTGAAGGAAATATGGCTCCTACTTCTATTCTCTAAGTCAGTTGACTTGACCTCATAACTATCTAGGCCTTGTCTAGGTCGATATTGTAAACCTCATTCATGTTAACCAGTTTGTCGACACCCAGTTCGTCAAAACTTAGTTTACCGAGTCCAGTTCACTGAAATCATGATAACCCAGTTTGCCGATTCTTGCCATCACCGTTGTACAAAAGTACAGCATACTGTGCTTTTGAAAAAGGATAGTTGGGTCAGGGTGGAGCCGTATTAAAAGGCAAAATATTGGAAAACAACGATGCTGGTTACCATTTTTGATTTAGTCGGCCCTTTATTCCAACCCTCTGTTGGACCCCTGTTGGCAAATTTCTGGCACTGGCATGTGTGTATAATTGTAGATTATTATTCATTAATTTATTGGTGATCCGCATTTAGCGATTTTTTTTTTTTGTTTAATTCTTTCTTTCTCCCCATGGTATCTCAAAATTGTCATGAGGAATTGAAAATTTCCATGATCATTTGTCTTGGCCCGGAATAGTTACAATAAACTTTCAATGTGATCAGTCATGTGTGACGTCATCAACGCACAGTTCAGTTTTTTTATGATGTGTTACATTATCGATCATATCAACCTAACCAATTGCCATTTCTAAATCATATTCAATGGGCATAAAACATTTAAATCACTGCGCGCGTTTGTGTCGACATGCTGTGAACATATGCCAAAATCATGCCTATATTTAATCAGTTACAGCTCCTTGGGATTGGACACCCACAATTTATTACATATTCTAAAAGCACATAAGTTGTAGATATGATTTTATAGATCATTGTGGATTGGACATAAAATTATTAGCTTATCACTTTAAAAAAAAAAAATTAATGAGGGCTTAGTCAAGCATGCCTGTAATGACCAGTTCGAAACTGGGTGGGGCACACATTTTTTTTCAGTTGCTGGACAACTTAAATCTAGTTTTCTTTAGAGCATATAGAAAAAATTATTAGTTTATCACTCTTTTTTTTTTTTTAAATTGATAAGGGTAGGAGGTGTTTTTTTTTTTTTCAGTGGAGGGATGGGATTATACCCAGGGATTCCTGTGCGCATAAACAGAATGAACATGACATCATTTTTCGAAGTGGTAGATGCATTTAAACAACTGCCCTGTGATTCAATGGCCTATCCAAAACTAGGCCTATATTTCGACATTACTCGAGCATCAAAAGGAGGGAACATCCCAATCAGTAGGCAGGCACCTAGGCTTTGATCTCTACCTCGAGCTAGGCCAGCCTCTGCCTAAACTTTCTTTCTTGATGTCATAGGTTAGTTTTTGCCCAAGACAACAACCAATCCAACCAAACACATCCATCACAAAAATGACCGCCCACTTGTAATGCATTATGTAACGAGTTATCTTTATCAGCGAGTCTCTGTAGAACATGTGTCTTCATGCTGTGAATCAACGATCTGATACGCCCAATTGGGAGGGTCTTTTAGGGACATACTGTGGTGTTGCCTATTTTTAGCTGCAGCTGTGGAACACGCGAGTCTTCACACTGTGAATTAACGATCCGATCTGCCCACTGGGAGGGTTTTTTTAGGGATGGATCGCAGTGTTGTCTATTTTTAACCACAGCTAGCGAGCTGTTTATTTTTAGCTACAGTAAACAAGTTTAAAGAATAGGCTTTGCATTTTCAACTCTATGGCGATCCCAATGTCTGATCTAATCAATTGGAAGAGTTAAAAGTCTGCTGAATTTCTTTATATTTTGTGAGCATTTGGTTTTTATGCTTTTATGCAGTTAAAATAAATGATGCGACAAAAAAACAAAAAGTAAATAAATAAATAATTAGGTCTACATATTTGCCCTTAGGTCTACATATTATTATCTTATTTAAATTATTTAATTTTTTTTTTTTTTCTGTTTGCCGATTTACAGAATGAAACAAAAAGAATCATTACAATAAGCCGCTATTTATTATAATATAACTGGTAAGAGAGTGCCCCACATTGTAAATTTTATGCTATTAATGTTTTATTGCTTTTAATTTACTTTCAGCAAACTGGTTTTCAGCAAACTGGGATTCATGGTTTTGAGTCGGCCAAACTGGCATTCAGCAAACTGGGATTTGGTAAAGTAACCCAGCTTTCATTTGGAGGCACTATATCAAATTAGTGCTTGAGTGTTCATAAGAAAATTACTTGCAACAGTCAAAAGTAAAACTTTCAAATTTATAGAATGTTTGAAACTAATATTATTTCTTTAAGGTTAGTTTTTGTTTCATTTGGAAGTTCATTTCAAATTTTTGATGTGCGATATAAGAAAGTGATGATGATGATATCACAACTGACTTATAATATATATTATTAAAACAAGGGTAACATTTCTACAATCACGCAGTCACCCGAGTCAGATATTAACTTATATACTGCTATAATACTATTGTGTATTTGTTTATTGAATTATTAATTTATTTTTCAACCATTGTTTGATTTACCTCTGTTAATATATATGTTTATTTTCTTTTAGAGGAATTGATCACACAAGAGGAAAGTGATAACAAAAGCTGCTCTCAATTGATCAAAGGTATGCCTGTATGTAAAGTACGTGTCATCAACAATTGCCTGCCAAAAGGCCACGTTTACAATACAGTACAATAAGAAATTTTATTCTTATGCCCTGCTATCTTTCCAACCAATATAGAACCAAGTGGTCGCAAACAGTGGCGGACCGTAGGGTAAAATTTTAGGGTATGCTATGGACTGCCATTGAAAAATAGTTGTCTAGTTGGAGAAGTTCAATCTATTACAATCAAAGACTACATTTTATAGTCAAACAACAAGTGTCATTTTTTATACCTGCATGGTTGTTTTTTCATTTCTAAAGAGCATGAAAAGCCTGTACGTTTAAATAAGTTTTTTCTATATTGAACATATTGTTTACGATTTCAAATCTTTTAAGTAAAATTGGATTTTATTCATTAAGGTGTCATGATGATATTGCACTGAAAGGTAGCAACTGGAATATGCCAAATTTTACCTTCAAGCACTTGTGGAGACGATCTTTAACTGACAGTGAGTACATCATAAATTCTTGTCTTCTACTTGACTACTCGTTTGAAGGAATTAGGACGTTATTTTGTAGGCCGGTCGTTTTCGATCATATATTTCAAAACCAATAAAAGTAGGCACATATATTCGTTCACCCGTCATATAAAAAACATAAAGACAGGAGTAACCTGTCGTTTCATTCGTTTATCTACATTGCTTCTCTCCACCCAGGAGTATAAATGGGTACCTGGTAGAGTTAAATGCCAAAATGCGCTGATGTAGCTGCTGCAACTTTATGGAACAGTTTGTGTTCCATAGGCGTCTAATCCAGTAACCAGGGGTAGTAATGTGAAGCGCTTAGAGGCCTTGTTGACATTAAGCGCTATATAAATATATAACATATATATATTGTGACAGACTTGAATTAATCGCTTCATCGCACCATGGCAATCCGAGAAGGTTGGATTGTGCTAGCTTTGTGTTTTATTAATTTGATTGTGAGTGATCGCATCCTCCAGTTTCCAATCTTAACATGTACCAGCGACCTGCAAATATCGATTCTATGTTACTCTCTTATCCGCAAAGGATACTTTAAATCGTGAATCGGTTATTATGGCAATTCTATCTCTAGTTTTAATTTGGACATTTTGACATGGGGCGAAGTGTCCAGCAATCCTGGACCAATGAATCCTGGACCAATGATAAACTTAACAAACCAAATTTTAGATGTGAATCCAGGCCACATCAAAAGCAAACACAGTTACTTAGCTACAGAGCTAAACAACAATATGGAATAATCATTCCACCAGTTGACTACCCGGCAACATGTGGACCTAAATAAGGACACTCCGTATAGCTAACCGTAAACCTATGCACAGCGGAACCAAACCATTAAGGTAAAGAGAAAAACTCATAGCAAGGTTTTCTCACATAGATTATGATTCTGATGCAATTTCATCGGACTCATCACTAGACTCATTTTACGCTCATGCCAATCTTGAATCATCAACAACCTGCAAGTTTAATAGTACGATCAATGAAGATGATACATCTGTCCTGAACTACTGCTGCCAATCAGTCGACTCCTTCCAGTACTGCACATGAATATTCTTAGCATTAGTAAAAGCTTCAACAAAATGTATCACTTTTTACAGGGTGCTGACTTCAGTTGCTGTTATTGGGATATCCGCAACATAGATTATAAATCTTCAACTCTTAATATGTATCAATTTGATAGTCATTATTTACTTACCACATGTAGGCAAACTGTGTTGGGAGATGGAACTGGAATGTATGTTCCGATCAATTTCTCATTAAATGAATTAAATCAGATAAGTCTACACCTATTTTAACATTGAAGCTTTATTTATTTAAAATAAAGTACCATGCCGTATAATTGTAAGCGAATCTAGTAACTACGTTGCGGTTGTACACCGTCCTCAGGTGATCATATTAAATTGTTTACTGAAGAATTTGATAGTATTCTGTCAAATCATTGCATATTAATAAACGGCTATACATTATTGGTGACTTCAATACTAATCTCGAGTAAAATACGACTTGTATTGATGTCAATGTATTTCTTAGTACCCTAACTTCTTTTAACTTAATACCCCTTGTTACTAAACTGATAGGAATTACTGAAGAAAAGGCAACCCCAATTGATAATGTATTTTCCAATATTCACCCTTTTCCAATTTTCAGAATTAAGTTATCAGATGTTTCTTTTATTGTATGCAATGAACCCCTTCTTTGACCACGGAATGTGCTAACACTGTGTAGTCTTTTATGTATTTCAATAGAAACATAATGAAGTTCTAAGAACAACTATTATTATGTTAGTGACTGGAGTTTGTAATGACTGACAGAAATGTCAAAATATCTTAAGTCTCGTTTTCTAATTATTTTACTCATAAAACGAAATGTAAAAGGTTTGGCTATTAGACCCTGGTTAACTGAATATTTATTAAGCTGTATTAAAACGAATAAGAAATTATATACTTGTTTGATGATGATACTAATTAATATAAAGTCTACAGAAATAACCTAGCATCTCAAATACGAGAAGCAAAGAAAAACTACTTTTCAGATAATTTTTTAGCTGCTGCCAGTGATATTAAAGGTACTTAGCAAGGAATTAGGTATGTAATGAAGAATAGAACCAGAAGCTTGTGTATCTACCAGCTTAGATTTAACGGCAATATAATCCATAATCAAAATGGAAATATGTGAAACCCTAAATGATTTCTTCGCTTGCGTTGGTCCTTGACTTGCTCAAAATATCCCAGTATCCTAAAAGCCTATTAGTGATTATTTAGGCCAGAAAAATATAATTTCTATTTTTTTTTAGAACCAGTTACTGTTACACCTCACGAGGTTTTTCATATTGTCAGCAACTTTAATCTAAAAAAAGTGTTGATTATGACAATATTAGCAGCTCGCTATTATTATTGTACCACTGGTGCACATACTTTAACTTTCAACTTCTACTGGAACATTTCCCGACCCAGTGAAGTGTTATTTTCCCACTTGGTTTATCAATTTTGAAAATTGTTTTCCCTTTTTTTTTGTTAATGATTAATTTTTTTACATTTACCATATTTAACCCCTGGATGCAGGGAAGGGGTGCAGCTGGATGCAGTGAAGGGGTGCAGAGGGTGCGGTCGCACTCCCCTAAAATTCTATTAAGAAAAATAACCAACCAGGTTTTAGCGAAAGAGCGCGGTAGCCTACAGCCAGAGTAAATCTTATTTTATAGCAAGACACTGGTATACTCTGCCCACAAACATCTGAATTACCTATCATAAAAGATTCGAGTGCGCGTACCTTTATTATATTTTTAGAAGTATAAGAAAAAGCGTGCAAAGATCAAATGAAGTAGGTAAAGTAAATACATCAAAGACAATTAAGTTTCATTTTCTATGGTACATCACACCGATTAATTAGGTCGATAATAATGAATTTTACATTAGTGTATATATCCAGCAATCTAGAGGTACAATTTCCCCAAATTTTACCTCCTCAGCCACAACTGTGGTGGGGCTGAGATGAGTGTGGACTCGCACTTTTGAAGTAGGTAAGGTAAATATGTACATCAAAGACATGTTTTTAAGTTGTATTTTCTATGGTACCGTACATCACACATTAGATCTCTGTGGTTACCGAAAAAAGCTGATGAAGGATCATGAAAATTTGTTGGCGCTTCATTTTTACTATATTATAATGGTGATGTGATGGTGATGTATTTTACTATTTGAAAGTGTCATTTCCGATCATCTAGAGATAACTATTTCTTTAAAATGTTCTCACCTCAACCCCAACCATGGTGGGCTGAGGTGGTAATCTTGAAAGCTCTGATGAGGGCAGTATAATAGAGGCAGTAGAGTATATTGGCCCTAACGGCCGCCCATACTAAAAAAATCTATTATTCAGCACATTAAAGGTCTATTAATCAGTCAGCTGGGTATTTCTAGAGCTCCTAATCGGAGCTAATAATTGGTCCTATCGGCCGCTCTTAAAAAAAAGATCTGTCAATCAATCAGCCAAGTGTTTCTAGAGTATCTCATCGAAACTAATAATAATTAAAATAATTGGCCCTAACGGCTGCCGATACAAAAAAGGATCTATAGCGATCAGCACAAAAAAGATCTATTAATCAATCAGCCAGGTATTTCTAGCACTCCTCATCGGACCTAAAATCTGATGAAAAGTTCTAAACTTGTACACTTTATACATTTCTTATATTTAATAAATTAATTAAACCTCAAAAAAAGGAAAATTTAACTTTTTATTGATCAATAAACTTGAGTTTGAACGTAATCTTTTATAAATTTATTTTTGCCAGTGAGCTGACAGTGCCTATTACAAGTTAAGTTTACTGTAGCTAAGTGCAAATTGGGTGACTCACCCTAGCCTCTTGATGTACAAGATGCACATCCTATTAAGAACATGCAACGCCATTATCAAGGCAAATGCCAGTTCCTGTCCAATCCGCAGCACATGTGATTATTCCTCTGCTGCAGCACATCTAAGCCAAGTCCTAGTCAAAGAGTTTAGCGTGATATCATTTAACTGGTTACTATTGTTTTAGAGTCGGCCATAGTATACAATTAAGCTACAGGTTTTATATCATTTAAACTGAATTAGAATTTTAAGGTAAGTTTCATTTTGTGGTAAATTGATTCTTATATATCTATAGAAACTAATTAACTATTACTGTAGATTTGAAAGAAAGGTGATTTATTTTCATTCTTCAAAGTTAAATTTGTATATGGATTTACTTGAAAAAAATATTTGCAACCATTTATTTTCTATTAAATGAACAGGTAAGATAAAAATGATATCCCCTGCAACTGTGGAGGACACATGCCAGAAGTACATGACCATATATAGTTAAAACGGTGTGGTGCTGTTATAGTTTCTTTCCAAAAAACTTGCACAGATTTGTCAATAATGTTAATTTATTGTCTATAGTAGAAACAAAGCTAACAAAATAATAAAATAATATAGAAGTAGGCCTATTACTGAAAAGTATTGATTAATAAGACAAAATTTAATGTACAGAGAACTAATTCCCACTTTTATATCGGCATTTATTCTGCAGTTTCTTGTGCTGCTTTCCATCTCGCACTCTCAAGAATGATTTTCTTATTCTGTGTCTGTTGCCGTAATAAACTTGGATAGTATAATATAATTCAGTATTAGACAAAATGTTTTGCTCGCCAAATGATGAATAATTAATATGGTTCTTCAGTGTATTCATTGCATACCCATAGATTGGCTGGTAGTCAATGTAAGGAGTTTTGTAGAATAAATTAGTCTGTAAAGTCAGTATACACAAAATCATGATTGATCTGTACTACATTTTTAAATGAGTAATTTAATGTTTTAATATACTCTGAGAATATTTTCTATCTTTTTTAAAACCATAGATGGTTTACTATTCTATATTATCCTCGATTTTATTTTTGATAGATGAATTTTTATGCAATAAATTTCTAATTTTAAATTTTGAATCATAGCTTATGAATGACAAAAATATAGCTAATAATCATGTGTGCCTGACTATAACATAATTGATGTTATTTCCAGTTTTGATAAAGATATGTCAATTCAAGATTTTCAGCTCATAAAATCCTGTTTTTTCTTAATTAAGTTCATGGCTAAATATACTTGTTTAAAAGTGAGAAACTCCTCAGATCTTTTGATCTGCAGGTAGTGTTCAGAAATATTTTGAAGGAGGGAGGGAATGTTAGTTGAGTTTTGGACAAGTTTACTACCCTCCTAATGGAAAGTATTTGGCAAAGTGAGAGTTAACAATCTAGCATTAGGTAACCTGGGAATTGAGATTATTGAGTTGAAAATCTGACATTTACCAAACAAGAATCAGCAAAATTGGCTTAGATCCTATGGAGGACGCATGATTTTAAACTTGTCATTTAAAGTCTATTAGATACTGAACCCCTTCTGTTATAAAAAAAAAAAAAAAATTGTGGAAATGGGTAGAGTGCATTGTTCGGTATTTCATAACTCATTTATGATCGCAATCTGTGACTTTCACATTTAACTTAATAACTTAATTTTGATTCAAATGTTCACAACAGGCATCTAGGATTTTAGGTGGGACTTCTGAAAAAAAAGTATTTATAAAAAATTCTTTAGCATATTACAGTACTGTATGTTGTAAAATGTATTACAACGTAGAATTAGCCAAAAATTACTGTAGGGCAGTAGTGTATTTAGGCATTTGGAAATGGGGGCTGGTGGATGGTGCAAAGATGAAGTTGGGAGCTCAATGATTAAGTGAGGGGAACTACCTCGCAAAATATAGTGAATTTTTTTTCTACTTGAGCATGATTTTTTTCAATGAGGCAACTTGGTGGGGATGGCATGCTTTTTTTTGGGGGGTGGGGAGGGGAGGGGGTGATTGTGTTAATAGAATTAGCAATATCCGAGTTTCCAATCTCACATTTAGCAAACTGGAATTTGGTATTAAGTCAGAAATCTGGCTTTTGGCATTCTGGGTATTGGGTATTTTCTATTCAAACAAGATCTTGTCAGACTGTACTGATATACCTCTTAGTCATAGGCCCTATTAAGTTTCTTTTTTGTAACTAAATTGTTTTTGTTCCTTTCATCAAAAAGCATTAACAAAAATGTGTCCCTGGTAGCAAAAAAAAAAAAAAGAAAAAAAAATTCTAAATTCTAAACATAAAACAATATATATTGTAGTATATAAGATGGATAGGCAGAGTAGGTATAACCAAAGAGTGTAAAATTGTAAGAGGTCGACTGCCCTGATTTTGTATGCACGCAATGACATGCTAAAAAAAGTACTACCACAAGATGGGGGCGCCCTATTTATGAATGCCTTTACGTTCTTTTGAAGGATGCCCTCTATTCTATGATGTATTTTGATTCAAAGCTTTTTGTACTACATTCTATTTTACCATTGACACACTATTATTATTTTAATTAGATTACTTGTTATGGTTGTTATTTTCATTGTTGAACTAGATACTGCAACCCGGTAGGCGAATGGACAAGAAGTTTTCAACACTCTTCCTTAACAAGAAGAAGGTAATTCTTTACAGCAATGGAGCAACAAAAGAGATACAATGCGGCCGTAGTAATTTTTACACACAAGCAAAAAGCGATGTGGAAACACAAACGGACAGGGCATGCATGGACTGCCTTAAATGCCAGAATCTACTTGGGATAAATCAGCACCAGAAAGATGAGATTGATAAACTTACGACAGTATTAGACCAAGAACGTAGTCTACGTCTCAATGCGGAACAGTTAGCCATCATTGCAGAGGCCGAATCTTTGGACTTTAGGGAGCAGCTGTTTCTGGAGAAAACCCAAGTCATTAAGATGGAGGCCGAGTTATCAAACTTAAGGGTAATATAGGAATTGTATCAATACAGTGTATCTTAACAGTAACTAATAATAACAATGTTGCCCTTCACACTAACTTAACATATTAAATTTATTTTCAATAGTGCATGCTGCTGTGGTGGCTCCAGAAATTTGCCGACAAGGGGTTCTGCAGTGGGGTCCGAACCAAGGGGCCATCTAGAGCCTCTATCAGGGTCCCAAAATCCCCGAGTTTTATTGGCTTACATGGCCAAAATTGTTATTTTTGGACATACAACCTCATTGTGGCATCGGACAAAGGGGTCTAGGCCTGTACGATGGGGGAAAGAGGAATAAAAAAAATCTTCCACACCAACTGATTCCAATACAAGTCAACTATGATGAATTATTGCAAAAAATAGAAACCCATCACCATGAAAATAGTACCGTCTAAATATTGAATAAACTACTGGTAACTGTGTCAACAGACCACCATAAAGATCGTCTTTTGTGCTGATTTGATCAGGCTTGCATCAGGTTTTCCTGCTTTGATCAGTCTTGCATCAGGTTCTGCTGATTTGATCAGACTTGCATTAGGTTCTGCTGCTTTTATCAAGCTAACATCAGTTCTGTTGCTTTGATCAAGCTAGCATCAGGTTCTGCTGCTTTGGTCAGGCTAGTACAGGCTCTGCTGCGTTATCAGGCTCGCATCAGGTTTTGCTGCATTGATCAGACTTGCATCAGGTTCTGTTGCATTGATCAGGCTCGCATCAGGTTCTGCTGCTTTTATCAGGCTTCCATCAGGTTCTGCTGCTTTTATCAGGCTCGCATCAGGTTCCGCTGCTTTGATCAGGCTTGCATCAGGTTCCGCTGCTTTTATCAGGCTTCCATCAAGTTCTGCAGCTTTGATAAGGCTTGCATCAGGCTCTGCTGCTTTGATCAGGCTCGCATCAGGTTCTGCTTTATTAGGCTTGCATCAGGTTCTGCAGCTTTGATCAGGCTTGCATCTGGTTCTGCTGCTTTGATCATGCTCGCATCAGGTTCTGCTGCTTTATCATGCTTGCATCAGGTTCTGGGGTTTTGATCAGACTTGCATCAGGTTCTGCAAGAGTTGGAGTTGGTTTTGGTTATGAGAAAAAAAAGCCAACATTTTTTATGAGTCATTAACTAATTTGAAAGCAGCTTCTGCTGCCCCATGGATTGACTGTTGCCCAGGCTAGACATGACTTGCTGGAATCCCCAACCTGTACTAAAAGCTTTGATGAGAATTGTGATCGTTCATCGCTTACCACATTGTCTGGAATTCAACTTCTTTTGACTATTTTGCTGAGCAGACACAGTGTCTCATCTTGTCTTTCTTATTTCATCCAAAGGCTTAACCCTTTTGCTGCGTGCCCCCGGTACTACCGGGGGCATGAAAATAATTCTTTTTAAAAATTGTTCCTGTACTGCAGCACCCTCTATAGTTGTTTCTATGAACTGGATGTAATTTCTACTGAATTATATGGAGTAATGACTAATTGATTTTTTGGAATTTTTTTTTCATGATTCTGCCGAACATGGATTTTTGTCTGTTTTAGAATAGAATGATGAAAATAATTCAAACTATTGATTTTTTTTTTTCATTTTATGTATCTTCACCATTATCCAGTGAAAAAAAACAGCATCCCATAAAAATTTCTATCTTTTTTTACAGATTTATGAAAATAGGGATTTCCAATATGGCCACACCAAGGTCACAATGCCACCTAATTAAAAAATTCTAATTTCAATTTTTTCCCATAGGCCAACATTTTTCCCACTGCAACACTCAAAAACAATTTCAAAATAACCTCTTTTAGTCTTTTTTTTTGGCATTTATTTAAAAATAACCTTCTTCCTAAAAAGGCCCAGCAGTGAAAGGGTTAATAAATATTACTGAAATGAATGATAGGTTAATGATAGCAAATACAGTAGGCCTATCTTCAGTGCTGTGTAATGGCACTCTCGACAACGCATCAGATAAAATCATCTTAGCATCGATGTAGGTTAAATTCATACTCAAAGTCAAAGTATTTTTTATTTATCCAAAAGTGTGAATTATATTGCTCATGCATACACAGTGTACAATTAAAAAAGATTTGTATTTATTGTTATTATTATTATTATTATTATTATTAAATACAAACAGTAAGCACAAATTAGTCAACACAACACATTATGTAATTTAATAACAATGCTTTACTCACCACAGAGAAAAAGTAACAATAAAATTAGTAAGATGACGACATTTCAAGGAATTTCAAGGAATTGGCGAACAACCATTTAAAAGAATCTGACCTCATGGAGTTATGAGATAATAATTAAAATACTTATTTCCTATTTCATAACCCTGTGTCAATCTATCTACCAAAGTCAGAGTTGAACTGTCTAATACCCTGGGGGATAAAAGAGAGAGAACTCTATTTGTTCAGAGCAGAGGTGTTGGAGGACCCACATGGAGTTTTTAATTCATTTTCACGGGCTACAATTTGGAATCATGTGGTTCCTTTCAGATATTTAACAAAGTTATCAATTTCATCTCTGTCATCATTTATTATCATATTGGTCCCCTGTTCAGTTCCCATTGCTCCTGTCCTTGTATTTCCGTTGGAGGACTGAATGGTTGTTACAATAGCGCACCACCGGAAGGACCCCACAGGAAATAAGTCTTCTTCTAATATCCTAATAGTGTTTACACCGAATAAATCCATCCATCCATCCATGAATTACCATGTCATCTGCAACACTCCATTCTAATCCATTTAGGCCATGAAGTGTTTCAGTTAACTTTTTCTGGAACATCTTAGATGATACTGACAGTCGGTTGCACTTGTAATGGCCAAATGGAGTCTAAAACGTTGTAAGATATTAACTTGACTCTTCATCGAGTGTAATATGCCAGATGACAGATTTGCTTTACTGAAAATCGTTGATCGATCCAACTCATGTAAAGTGTCTTCGAGTGTTGGAAGATAGCGTTTTCTACACAATGTTTTGTTTAACTGCTTTGAGTCTAGGCAAACACAGATGTTCCCATACCTTTTAGGAGTGACCACTATGGGATTGACCCATTCAGTAGGTTGCAATACTTTAGAACCCGGGTATTCAACCTTTTTAAGCTGTGGGCCAGTTCCAATTTGTTAAGACCAGCAGCGGGCCGACATACATTGTGTACTTCCATTTTCTTTTAAAAGCGGTGAATTCAAAATTGAAGGGGGCCAGGGAACAACTTCCACAGATAGGGGAAAATGCCACCTCAGCCCCGCCATGTTTGGGGCTGAGGCAAGAAAATTTATGATTGTGGCACCTCTAGATGGTCGGAAATGGCACTCTCAAGCTTAAATTGGAATTTAATTTTCTCTTCTTCTCTTTTCATTCTTTTAGAATTTTGGGGGGAAAAAACCTGCATTTCAGGTTATCCTACCCTGCCAATAGAAATTTTCCTACCACAAAAATATCCACTCACCAGTGGTTGGGGTTGAGGTGAGCACATTTTTAACATAGATACCTCTACATTCCCGGAAATTGCACTTTCAGACTCAAAAATAAGTTTTCAAAGCAATGATAACAACGGAATAACATGCCCTGAACCTGCTGGTGCCGCAAATAGTTAGACATTACATCATATCAGTGCCCCACTTAATCCATTGTCCCCATTAGTCTACCCCTCCCCATACTAATACCCTATGCCACTAGATATATTGAGTTACACTCAGGAAAAGACACACTCCTGGGTGGCATTTCTCTAACGGAAAAACTATTTACTAAAAATAGGGCGGCAAATTATTTATTTTTAACAATGTTTTACGGGCCGGGTCAAAATCTTTGGTGGGCCGGATTTGGCCCACTGGCCGGGGTTGAATTTCAGGGCTTTAGAAATTTCACCCAGTTTCTCTATTCGATTCAGCTCAATTTTCAATTTCAGCTTGGCTGGTACAGTACCAGTCTAGTAAGCATTATAACAGGTTTAACTTTATCATTGATGGCCAGAGCAACAATTTTAGGTAGGATACTAATGGATGCCTTATCAAAAACTTCTTTTAACTCCTTCAAGTGTTATACATTCCATCTTTTGCTAGTTGATATGCATAATGTTCAGCCACAGTCATTTTCGGTCACTACAATTTGAATGTCATGAGAACCACTATTGGATGGATTATGTACAACATCTACGATCACACCGTATGCTTCTGGTTTTGACCCATCCCAAATTTTTAACACTTATTTTTGGGGATTTGTATCACTCTTTAGATATCTTAATACGTATTCTCTATTACAGTGAGAGTGAAAAATCAAGCTATATTTATTCAACTTATGTCATCCCAAATTGTTCCTGTGCTAATGTGGAACACTACAACATGTTGTTATGTTCATCTTACACTTCAAATAATTCTGCTGCTTGTTAGGCAAGACTTATTTTATACCTTGTCTCACAAACTTATTTTTTTTAAAGATTGTCAGAGGAGGGTATAAAAAAATAAAATTTTGTTTTCATATTTAGCAAATAATTTTGCCAAAAACATTTGGATAGAGGAGAAAATATAAATAAAATTGTGATATACTGTATGCTAACAGTGTGTAACCGCTCTAGACACAATACAGAAGAATTTTACTAAAGATTGAGCTGAGCGGGGTTCGAGTTAGGGGTGACGGCACTAGACTTGTAATAACGAGAACACACAGATAACTGGCTTTAAAGTGAAATATATTCATAAAATCAAGTTACCAATGTATCTGTACAATGAATGTTACCTAATTTAAGATAACATGTAACAAAATTGTTTAACTTATTACAAAGTAATTATAAAATATATATAAGCATAAACTTAAGGTTTGGTGACAACAGCAGCGGTTGTGTTCGATCCTGTCAAAACGTTTGTTTGGTTGGTATCGCATGGATGCTGGCAAAGTTGCTTCTTAGTTTGCGATTCTCAGTCTCTACTGTAATAGCGGACTCCAATCCTTCAGTCTCCGACTTGGGCAATCTTCCTCAACCTGAATTCGTTGAGCAATGAACAAAGTATAAGACAACTTGGTTTTGACTGTAGCAAGATAGGGCCTGACTGCTCTCTTTAAAGTTGCAGAGCTAAGTTGTAATTATGTACAACTCAGCAGCCCTATTTATAAGGATCGGTCCCCTCCTAGTTCTGGCTGAACATTCCTAAGACCCTTTGTAGAGTCACATTACAGGGCCTAACTACCCCTTTCACAAGAAAAAAGTGGTTGACCATTTGCCTTTTTTGGGTATATACTAACAATATCCCTTTAGTGGTTATTGGGTATGTTGAGTAATACTCTTAATTATGCTTACAGTCAGCAAGTTTCTTTATTTCTGAATACAGGGGATAGGATAAGTATTTTAATTACTTTCTCTTCTTTACTACTCTGTACATGGGTTACAGGTGTATTAATGGGATGGTTAAGTGCTTTAAATTTATATAATTAGGAAGAAATATACATACTGTAAATCCTTGAATAAGTGCCGCTCTCAAATAAGTGCCGCTCTCTGGAATAAGCACCGATTATTCTATTTTGAATAAGTGCTGCAACGCTTAAATCGAGTATATTACCCTGTGTGCACTTTGAGAAACAGGGTTTTAAATATAATGTTTACAGTTTTCAATTGAATACCTTAGTTAACACAAATAAGATGAAAGCATATCTTTATAAATTACAGCCTAGGATAGGTATACCGAACTATGGGAATATGAGAGATAGGTAACATGGGAACGGGCATAGAAAACGCCATGTCAATATTTTTTTAATAAGCGCTGCTCTCGAATAAGTGCCGCACTGAAGCCTCCAAAAAAAACTTTTACGTTTTTCTGAAATTCTATTTTTTCATGGCAGGGGTTCGCTAAACCTTCCACCTTATCTATTCACTATCATCACTTTGACTCATATGAATTAGACTCATGTTACATATGCAACAGTCTTGCATTTGTCCAGTTCATTTTACATTTGCAGGCGAAATGGTTGAGCTTCCCACACTTTGAACACTGTTGCCCAAGGGCAGGACATTTTTGTTGCTACTCCATTCGTGAAATTTACCACAGAAAGCGCATGATTTAAGCATCTTCTCTGTGTTGTTGTTTTCCAGTCTTATCATCAGATTGTTCAAATTGTTAATTGCATCTTTGGCTGACATGGACTCACATGGACTGCTTTCTCATGGCTGACATGGACCGCATTATCACCGCATTCTTGACTCAGTACTTTCATTCAACCTGTAATTGCTTCATTCATTGTTAAATTGCTCTTTTCTAGAAGTTTTCTTGTGTTATCACCGATGCTTATTTTATCATCTGCCGGTGTACCAAAGTCACATGACTTGTACCAAAGTCACATGACTTGTACCAAAGTCACATGACTTGCCAACTCAGTGTTGTGACATATGTATCAATCAATTTGTCCTTCAGTTGCTCCCATTTATTCAATTCAATTGCTGTAGTAGGTCACGGTAGTCATGGTAGTTTCAATTCATTGCTGCACGGGCATGTATATGGAACGTACGTAATTACTGAATTTTATCCTATCCAAAAGTATTTAGGTTAGGGTGAGGATTAATTAAGTTTCAACTAATATAGATGTAATCAATTAACAGGATTAATTATTTAAGCTACAATTATTATAAAGAAGTCACCAATTAACAGTGACAATGCAGGAAGTTTTTTAATTAACTTATCATTTATTAGATTGATCACAATGTAATATTGTGGCGATTGACGTCGCACATATAATAGGATGCTTTCGATTTGTGACGACTTAGAACTAATGACGTCATTTTAATTTAAATGCGCAGGTTTAGTTACACTTTTGAAATTTCCTTATTACCAAATTACTACCGGTACAAGGCAAGAAGCCATCCTAGGCTAGGGTATAGGCTATAAAAAGAGGGGAAAAAAAGCCGATGAGAAACACATCATGAAAAATAATTCAGATACCAGATCTGCAACTGTAGGCCTGTGTCGGGGGGGGGGAATGGCCACCCTTCCCCCTCGCTGGCACCACCACTGTACTGTATGTATCTTTTTTGAATATAACCTAAATATAATACCTGGATAAATATTTAAGAACACTTTGTGAAAGATTGTAAATTATTCATTCTCATTTTATCAGGGAGAACTGAAGCGGGCTGTGAGCACATCAAACTGTTACAAAACAAAGAACGAGAAAATCATTGGGGCAGATGCAGCAAGTCCTGGGGTATGTATAGAGTTTTGTTTACTAATTTAAAAAAACGATTATAGTATGACCAGATATGATATAAAACCTACTTACTGTATAATATATATTTATGAGTTGGGGATACTTTCAAACAATTGAAAAAAGGGACTTTTGTTGATAGGCGATATGTCCAATACAATCTTGCATCATATTTCAGATATATATATATATATATATGTATGCAGAAATATAGGAATGATTTGCTTAAATTGGATTAATGGCCTCAATGGCCCAGTTGTTTAAGGCATTTGCATAGATAGCAGAAGGTCCCTTTTCTACCTTTTTCACACTTGCAGATTCCTCTTCTTTAAAATTCAAAATTTATATATCATTATAGCATTACTGCAAGACGGTTTTTGAGTTATCTCTATATCGTATCATGATTTATTTATCTTTTCGAAGATCCTGTCTTGTAAAATGCTTATAAGTGCATATTATATTAATCTGTTATTTGTGTGTGTGTATATATATATATATATATCTATATTCAAATTAGGTTAACTGCATAGCACTGTAAACACAATACCTTTTTACTTTAAAATAATAATGGTTGTTTTCTTCTGTGTTTTCGTAATTAAGTAGTTTTTAGAAAGTTGCGAAAAGCAGATAAAACCTTTCTAGAGAAGCTTTATATTTCAACTAGCAGCTCAGGAAATTAATTATGTGGGAACAGCATAATAACTTAATATGCAGATAAGAAACTATTTTTGTTATATTTTGTAAGTACAGTACATAAATTGACCTTGCTGTGTGTTTCATTATCAAGGGCTGATTGGGAATTTGAAATACAGGTCTGTTATTATGGTTTACACATTTAAAAAATTAAAACTTCACTTCACATCTTTATTATAAATCCATGCAAATTTGATTTGAATGTCATCATAATTATAATTTACCTATTGCGGATGCAGTATTTGTAGTCAGTTTATCATTTGACTATCAGACTTGTAAAAATAAAATACCTTTTTATTTTCAATATTTCCTATATTTAAAATGTGGCATACTGCAATCTGATAGCCATTTATTTCCATACAAAATATTTTGCTTAAATTATTTTATATTTAAAAAAAATAACATAGTAATATAAGCATTACAACCATTTTCAAAATGTTTTCATAAAGTTAATCATGAATCTTATTATGCCATTAACGAATAGTTCATAATTTTTTCAACTTATTTAATTATTATAAAGTATTTTTTATTTTATTAAGGTTAATGTGTGTATTTATTTTTTTGCATCATGTTTAACTTGTGTTTGTTTTATAGATATGTGTTTGTTTTACAGTTACTAATTTATATAAATTTAATAGCCATACTGCTAACTTATTTCTTGCTAGCACCCAAGTTCAGAACAAAGTCAGCTTGCGGTGCCTGCAGGCTAGATGTTCTTTAATGGTTTTTTTCATGCTGTAGCACAAAGCACTGTGGGCTAACTGAATTGTATGATGAAAAAAAAAATGAGTTCGATCTGCCTGTTGTATCATTTTCTAGTGATGTTTGATGACCTTGAATTTAACACAAATTTACCTTATTATTTCTATGGGTTATGCCTATCTATAGGCTACAAATATGAACAAAGTTTTTTTTAGCTCTACAGTACAATTAAAAGTCTCTGTATTAACAGATAACATCTGGTGCTCACTCCAGGACGCAGGCACCGCGGGCACTTTTTAAAAAAGGTTAAAATTGTTATTTTTTTATAAGGTTTTTATAGCCTGGTTTACGTCGAACTTTTATCTAGATATAGATCCACTTAACTAGTTAAAAGTTTGATGTGAACCAGTCAATTATAGCTAGATAAAGGTTTAACTCACTTAATTAAGTGACTTAACTTTACTAGAATAACGATAAATTAACTTGCTTAACAGTAAAGTTGGCTCGGATTACAAGGACACGATTACGTAACGTAGGCATCTAAGCCAGCGTTGTGTTGTACCACCATTATCATCCTCTGGCTGGCAACAACGTACTCCAACAATGCTAACAACAGCAGCAAAGTAGTTTCATTAGTCTAGTTTTCAGAAATTATAATATTATGGGTAAAAACCCAGCAAACGTCCGTTTTACGAATAGTTGATATTACAAATGACCTTTGCCCCTTGCATCTTCGACCAAGTAATAATGTCAAAAAATCTGATTGCGTATGTTTTTCAAAGCGATAATGTATATTATTCTTAATAATAAAATCAGATTTGTTGTATTTATTTATTTATTGACAATTTAAACTTTTCCATTTCCTCTATAATAGTCACTATTAATTCAGTTTCAACGAACTACCACCAACGCCAGTCGTTAAAGTGAGCACACATGTTTACGATGACGAAATAAAAGTCAGCAACTTATTTGACACTGCCAAGCTAGATTTTCGCGAGGTGCATGTAAACAACACAATTGAGCAATCTAAAAACTACAAAAAAAAAAAACACGACAGAAAGGTCCATAAAGTATACAGGCGTTTTAATGTGAATTAAAACAATTTTTTGTTAAATGGGAGAATGATAGCGATTAAAATAATTTGTTTTTTATCGAAAATAAATTTAGTTAGGGCCTAGAGTCTGCTACTAGATTGCGATAGACCACGCTGCTGCACTGTCGGTTGGTTCGTACTGGTCGGCTAGGCTAGGTAGTGGAAACTGACACCTGATCTACAGTAGTTTACGAATTTGTCAGTTTTTTTACGAATACCCCTTAGTACTAGAGGTTCGTAAAATACATTGGACGTTTTTTAAACAAGCCTTTCCACCGTGTGACGTCGACGGCCTCGAAGCTTGCTGGCTGTTTATCTGGCTCTAACTTGACATCAAACGCAACTAAGGAAAATCGTATCATATTTCTTGATTTAGATAAGTGACTTAACTTCGACGTGAACCAAGCTTATATTTGGTATATGTGGCCAGAATGTGTTGCCCTCAGGCAAATTGCAAGCAGAAAGGTCACTTCCCACAATTGATATTTAAAGCACTTTCAACAAATGTTCAGTAAATCTAAATATGAAAAGATTACTCTTCGTTTGAACAAAGCCGAATTGGATTTTAATTTTTTACATAATTGCAAGGCATTCGGAGTTTTTCCTAAATCTAAAGTTACAGTACATCCCTACAGTTATACAAATAAATACCAATCAGTGTTTTATGGGATAAACATTAAATAGGCATCAGTAATAATTACTGCTTGAAAATTAAATGCAATGCTAAACATATAATCTCTATAACCAATGAATTAATATGCATGTTTAGCAAATCTGTTGGATTTTTTATCTGACATTGTTGAATAATATTCATAGTAAGATTTATCTCACACAGTGGTAAATACACAATTAGTTATGATTTAAGCATAGCATAAAGCTTTCTATACATAAACATCTCAGTAGTTTTTATGTGATATTTTATTCATTAATCAATGTTTATTTGACAATATTGTAATCACAGCAAAAAGCTGAATTAATATTATCACATTAAAGTGTGTTAAAATCACATTAAAATGGTACAAATATAAAGCAGAGAGAATTTCACTAAATTTTTATTCACATAAAAATGCTACAAACAATATAAGGTCTCACATAAAACTGGCATAAAATCATATGAAATTATGAATCCCAAATATTAAAATAATTAAAACTACCACTGTTTTTTTTCTGGCCATCACTTCCCATGCTTAGAATTTTTCCGTGCTTTGCCGAAAGCATAAAAAAATTTGAAGTATAGGACTATTCAAATTATGGCACATTGATTTATGGCATAAGATATGTAGAACACAATAAGAAAACATCTACACAGTCTATGGTATTTCCGTCTGTTATTTGGTATCAGATGTTTTCCTCCTAATTAACGTGTAATTTGACAACAAATACTTATACTTCATCCTTAATTTGTTATTAAGTATTTAGATCTTATAAATTATGTTTTTAAAAATATACAGTAGTAGATGGATCTTTAAAAAAACGAGGGCATCCTACCAAATTTAGTTTCGGAGTCTTTGTAGGGTGGTTTATTATAGCATGATGTATAAACATGCAAGCTATAATATCAAGATTCTGTTACAATATACATTAGTTGTAATAATTGTACTAAACGTAAATAAAAGGATTGTTGATGTCCTTGATTTCCCACACATTTAACTACTGTATATGTGCGTGTGAATGAAAGCGTCCATCTAGGCCTACCTATCAGATTGGAAATGCTATTTAGTGTACTACAATACTGCTGTATTAGGTAGTACTGTACATAGGCTTAGCCAGCGAGTCGTCTGGCCGTCTTTTGGACGGCCTACAATTATTTAGGACAGCCACATTTACCATGACGGCTTGGACAGCTTGGCCTAATCAGCTCATCCTAGACTAATTGGGCCTGGTCTACCTTTAGCAAATTCTTTATATTCTTCAAATCTATCGAATGTTACCGGTACATTAAACTAAAGCTAAGTCATATTAACGTTTGATAAAAACAACATTTATTGATTGTATGTACATTGTTTTCGTACCAATATTCAGTGGGGATTCCCATGGGCGTGGCCACAAGTGGGCGTGTCCCGCCAATTGGCTCAGTGCCACACCCACTGGCTTCCATTTTGGACGGTGTATATCGTTTTACTGGCCAAACCTCTGGTAATGTATGTACTGTTTTGTCATTTGACACCACTGTGGTCTAGCTAGAGCCCTAGGGAAGACAGTCTTGGTGTTGTACAGTATTTGTTTACACAAAACATAATCATTTGTTTATGTTGTGGTTAAGTGGTTTTGATTCAACCTTGATCTAGGCAATGTAGTTTTGATAGTGTGCAAAGTCCTTAACTACCTATATCTACCACATTGCTAGTGGTATCTAAGATTTATTATGATCTGTTGCTTTTTAATGAAACTATGGTATTATAGTTGACACCACTGTTTTAACACCTAGGTACTATATTGTGTCACCTTAAAAATGTATTTATTATTTTTGTTCACAGATTGCAGAATCGCAGGAAAAGGTTCAAGGACAAAATAAAGGAACAAATATGTAATTTGAACTTCTTTTAATTATCCTTAACCAGACTGACAATACTGTCAATTTGTTATGCTAATAATTATGTAACACTGTAATAATAAAATATTTTTTTTATAATTATTCTTTAACATTTAAAATTTATTTAAATATATTTAAAGCATTACTGCAAGACGGTTTGGAGTTTATCTCTATTATATCATGATTTACTTATAAAAAGCATCTCTTCGCAGATCTCGTCTTGTTTTCAAATGCTTACAAGAAGAGGGTGTATCATAGTGATATCTGTTATTTTCCATGCATCAAAGAATGCTGTCTAACTGTGCATGCACACAAGTGTGAAGAATTAGATGCTTTAATTAGATTCAAATCTTAAGGCATCTGCATAGACAGCAGAATGTCTCAGGTTTGAATCTTGGTTGAGGCACCTATTTTTTGTACTAGTGGCTTTAGAGTTAGAGTCTATTATATTATACATATATATATATTAATAACATAGTTTACCATTCTTTTGATATATTTTGTTTTAGTGAATCCAGTTCTCCAGAAAATGAAGCAGAATTAGCAAGTGCTCATGCCAAGCTAAGCAAATCAAATGCTAAGGTCAAAGGTAGGTATGTCTGGTTATGTGCTTCTGGTGGGTAAAAATCAACATCAAAAATGTAGGAGTAAAACAGGAGGGGTAGAAATAGTGCGAATAACAGGTACGGTCAACCACCACAGTTTAAGACGCTCAGCATCAGTCATGAGCAGGCTAGCCTTATTGCCTCAGGCCACATTGGACCTAATACGGTAGGTAGAAAACACAAGCATCGGCTTTGCAAAAAAAAACCACATTTGGTAGTGAAATCTCAGTGTGTTTAGAGGTAGAGTAAGTGAAAGTTAAACCTCCAAGAAAGGAGGCGAGAAAACTAGGATGTTAGAGTAATGCACGTAAAAAACAATAAATAAAGAAAAATTTAAATACTTCAAATGACTGTGTATTCTGTAGAAAAAATTACGTCTACAGTATTTTCCAGATCCAAGTATCATAAATTTCTAGGTCATCGACGCGTGATTGAAGACTCCTGGCACTATATCCAACTTAGCTTCTTTAAAGTAATTCCACCTAATTATCTCTCATTTACCCAATTGTTAAGTGTTTCTGAAATGGCTTCGATGTGGCAAAAAATTTCCAATAAGACGTACAAACCGCAAACTTCTTAGTGTTGGATACAAGGCAAGCACTGCCTATGAATTATTTATGCCTCAACTCTTATATTTTTAAATTTATTACATCAATGTAAGCTATGTGTAGGCCTACTGTTATGCGATTGAAAAGCATTGATTGAATGTTAATTAAGTATGTAGGTCGACTTAAGTGTCGAGAAAGAATCAAATCGATTCCGCGCTAAAGCTATGTATACACTATATCTAAACAATAATGGCCGCAACAGTGAGGACAATATGTCAGTGGTACCAAGAACCAACCAAGAACCAAGATACCATCAATTAAGATTTGTAGATTGACCATATGCCAGATGGTGTACCAAAACCTATAATGATTTATTAATGGATCAAGCTTAGGGAGCTCCATATAGAGTGCTAACAATTATATTTTTTTATTGGGTCTTATAATTTCATTTAAGATGGATTGACAGTAGAGGTCAAAGTGTAAATCCCCTTCCCCCGGCTCCTTTCTACATGGCCGGCGGAACCGGGGGGGCCGTGGGGGCCCGGGCCCCCCCACTTTTTGGCAAAAAATTATATAATGCCTGGAGATTTTTGTATGATAGGATATGCAAGAAAAGAAGGAGGGAAGAAGGAGGAGAAGGAGGGGAAAGGGAATGTTTATCCAGTACCCGACCGAGTTACATTTTCTCTCAATTCACATTGGCGGATCTGGAGGAGGGGGTCATGGGTCCTGACTTCTCCCTTGGGCAACAAAAAAAAAAGGGGAAAAAGAAAAGAATTCTAGACCTACCTTTTCAGGAACCGTGAGCTGATTTTTTTTTTTTTTTTTTTTTTTTTTTTTTTTTTTTTAGAATTTTGAAGAACATCAAAATTATAGAACATAAAAGTCATTAAAACACACTTTAAAATTTTCCCGGGGGAGAACCCTCGGACCACCCTTTCTTTTTGCGATTTATCGATTCATGGAAAAGAATATGCATGCAACTACTCATTTATTTATGTAGGTATACACACATAAAATAAAAAATGAGAAAAATTTACCTGACTGTTTTAAAGAGGGGAAAACCTTGAATTTCGAAGAACTTTAAAAGTCATTGAAAGACATTTAAGAAGTCTGGAAAGCTCATTTCCC